CGTTTTTGTTACTGAGCGCATATGCTTGCACATCGCATATACTTGCAGATCGTGTATGCTTGCGGATCACATATGCTTGCAGAGCAGATATGCTTGCACATCGCATATGCTTGCACATCGCATATGCTTGCACATCGCATACGCTTGCACATCCCATATGCTTGCAGAGCGCATATGCTTGCAGATTGCATATGCTTGCACATCGCATATGCTTGCAGATCACATATGGTTGCAGATCACATATGCTTGCAGATCGCATATGCTTGCACATCGCATATGCTTGCAGATCGCATATGCTTGCAGATCACATATGCTTGCAGATCGCATACGCTTGCACATCCCATATGCTTGCAGAGCGCATATGCTTGCATATTGCATATGCTTGCACACCGCATACGCTTGCAGATCAAATATGCTTGCAGAGCGTATATGCTTGCACATTGCATATGCTTGCAGATCGCATATGCTTGCAGATTGCATATGGCATATGCTTGCAGATCGCATATGGCATATGCTTGCAGATCGCATATGGCATATGCTTGCAGATCGCATATGGCATATGCTTGCAGATCGCATATGGCATATGCTTGCACGTTGCATATGCTTGCAGATTACAAATGCTTGCATACTGCATATGCTTGCAGATAGCATAGCATAGCATAGCGCAGCATAGCATAGCATAGCATAGCATAGCATAGCATAGCATAGTGTAGTGCAGCGCAGCATAGCATAGCATAGCATAGTATAGCATAGCATAGCATAGCATAGCATAGCATAGCATAGCATAGCATAGCATAGCATAGCATAGCATAGCATAGCATAGCATAGCATAGCATAGCATAGCATAGCATAGCATAGCATAGCATAGCATAGCATAGCATAGCATAGCACTTGCTGGACAGCCGGGTCGAGTCCTGCGATGGTTTTCACGTTTCCATGCTGTCATGCTTTCTTGGTTTTGGTACTGAGCACATATGCTTGCGCATCGCATATACTTGCAGATCGCATATGCTTGCGGATCACATATGCTTGCAGAGCACATATGATTGGACATCGCATATGCTTGCACATCGCATATGCTTGCGGATTGCATACCCTTGCACATCTCATATGCTTGCAGAGCGCATATGCTTGCAGATTGCATATGCTTGCAGATCGCATATGCTTGCAGATCACATATGCTTGCAGATCACATATGCTTGCAGATCGCATACCCTTGCACATCGCATATGCTTGCAGATCGCATATGCTTGCAGATCACATATGCTTGCAGATCGCATACGCTTGCACATCCCATATGCTTGCAGAGCGCATATGCTTGCACATTGCATATGCTTGCACACCGCATACGCTTGCAGATCACATATGCTTGCAGAGCGTATACGCTTACACATTGCATATGCTTGCAGATCGCATATGCTTGCAGATCGCATATGGCATATGCTTGCAGATCGCATATGCTTGCAGATCGCATATGGCACATGCTTGCAGACTGTATATGTTTGCATAATGCAGATGCATGCGCATACGTATAACATATCGCATATCGTATATTGCATATCGCATATTGCATATTGCATATCGCATATCGCATATCGCATATCGCATATTGCATATCGCATATTGTGTATCGCGTATCGCATATCGCATATCGCATATTGCATATCGCATATTGCATATTGCATATTGCATATTGCATATTGCATATTGCATATTGCATATTGCATATTGCATATTGCATATCGCATATCGCATATCCCATATCGCTGCATATATGGCATATCGCATATCACATACCGCATATCGCATATCGCAAATTGCATATCGCTGCATATCGCATATCGCTGCATATCGCTGCATATTGCATATCGCATTTACATATATGCATATAATATATGCACACATATGAAACATAAAACATAACCTCGGTGAGGATCGAACCGGCGACCTCCCGTTCTTTTTGGCGCGGTCTTTAGCGCGTACGGCACGCTCCCGACCCGGAATTTCCAAAATGCTCCGGACAACCGGACAACCGGACAAGCATCGAACTCCGGACGAGGCGCGGTCCCTGCGGTCCCGAGGGTGCCGTAGCTCTCGTCCGGGTCCGCACACGTTCGGGTGCATCCGGACGTTCGGGTGCATCCGGATTGCAAATGCTTGCGTATTGCAAATGCTTGCATATGCAATATCCTTACATATTGCATATTGCCCATGCTTGCATATGCAATATCCTTGCATATTGCGCATGCTTGCATATTGCGCATGCTTGCATATTCCAAATGCTTGCATATTGCAAATGCTTGCATATTGCATGTGCTTGCATATTGCAAATGCTTGCATATTGCATATGCTTGTATATTGCATATGCTTGCAGATCGCATATGCTTGCAGATCGCATATGTATGCAGATTGCATATGCTTGCAGATTGCATATGCTTGCAGATTGCATATGCTTGCAGATCGCATATGCTTGCAGATTGCATATCTGGCGCAGATCGCATATGCTTGCAGACTGCATCTCTTTGCAGATCGCATATGCTTGCAGATCGCATTTGCTTGCAGATTGCATGTGCTTGCAAATCGCATATGCTTGCAAATGGCATATGCTTGTAGATCGCATATGCTTGCAGACTGCATATGCTTGCAGATCGCATATGCTTGCATATTGCATATGCTTGCATATTGCGCATGCTTGCATATTGCGCATGCTTGCATATTCCAAATGCTTGCATATTCCAAATGCTTGCATATTGCAAATGCTTGCATATTGCAAATGCTTGCATATTGCAAATGCTTGCATATTGCATATGCTTGTATATTGCATATGCTTGCAGATCGCATATGCTTGCAGATCGCATATGTATGCAGATTGCATATGCTTGCAGATTGCATATGCTTGCAGATTGCATATGCTTGCAGATCGCATATGCTTGCAGATTGCATATCTGGCGCAGATCGCATATGCTTGCAGACTGCATCTCTTTGCAGATCGCATATGCTTGCAGATCGCATTTGCTTGCAGATTGCATGTGCTTGCAAATCGCATATGCTTGCAAATGGCATATGCTTGTAGATCGCATATGCTTGCAGACTGCATATGCTTGCAGATGCATGCATATGCTTGCATATTGCATATGCTTGCATATTGCGCATGCTTGCATATTGCGCATGCTATGCATATTCCAAATGCTTGCATATTCCAAATGCTTGCATATTGCAAATGCTTGCAGACGGCATAGGCTTGCAGATCGCATATGGCATATGCTTGCAGATCGCATACGGCATATGCTTGCAGGTCGCATATACTTGCAGGTCGCATATGCTTGCAGATCGCATATGCTTGCAGATCGCATATGCTTGCAGATCGCATATGGCATATTTGCAGATCACATATGCTTGCAGATCGCATATGGCATATGCTTGCAGATCGCATATGCTTGCAGATTGCATATGCTTGCAGATCGCATATGGCATATGCTTGCAGATCGCATATGGCATATGCTTGCAGATCGCATATCCTTGCGGATCGCATATCCTTGGCTATATATGCAATATATATGCCGTATATTGCATATTGCGCATGCTTGCATATTGCGCATGCTTGCATATTCCAAATGCTTGGCTATTGCAAATGCTTGCAGATCGCATATGCATGCAGATCGCATATGCTTGCAGACTGCATCTGTTTGCAGACTGCATATGCTTGGCGACTGCATCTGATTGCAGACTGCATCTGCTTGCAGACTGCTTCTGCTTGCAGATCGCATATGCTTGCAGATCGCATATGCTTGCATATTGCATATGCTTGCAGATCGCATATGCTTGCAGATTGCATATATGGCGCAGATCGCATATGCTTGCAGATTGCATATATGGCGCAGATCGCATATGCTTGCAGATTGCATATATGGCGCAGATCGCATATGCTGGCAGATTGCATATATGGCGCAGATCGCATATGCTTGCAGACTGCATCTCTTTGCAGATCGCATATCTTTGCAGATCGCATTTGCTTGCAGATTGCATATGCTTGCAAATCGCATATGCTTGCAGACCGCATACGCTTGCAGATCACATATGCTTGCAGATAGCATATGGCATATGCTTGCAGATCGCATATGCTTGCAGATAGCATATGGCATATGCTTGCAGACAGCATATGCTTGCAGATCGCATATGCGTATAGATCACAGCACAGCATAGCATCGCATAGCATAGCATAGCGCAGCATAGCATAGCATAGCATAGCATAGCGCAGGATAGCATAGCATAGCATAACATAGCGCAGCATAGCATAGCATAGCGCAGCATAGCATAACACAGCGCAGCATAGCATAGCATATCATAGCATAGCGCAGCATAGCATAGCATAGCATAGCATAGCATAGCATAGCGCAGCATAGCGTAGCATAGCATAGCATAGCGCATATGCTTGCAGATTGCAGATCGCCTATGCTTGCAGACCGCATAACGCATATGCTTGCAGATCGCATATCGCATATGCTTGCATATCGCATATGCTTGCAGATCGCATATGCTTGCAGATCGCAAATGCTTGCAGTTGGCAGATGGTTGCATTTGGCATATGCTTGCAGATCGCATATGGCATATGCTTGCAGATCGCATATGGCATATGCTTGCAGATCGCATATGCTTGCAGATCGCATATGGCACATGCTTGCAGACTGTGTATGCTTGCATAATGCAGATGCACGCGCATATGTATAACATATCGCATATCGTATATTGCATATCGCATATTGCATATTGCATATCGCATATCGCATATCGCATATCGCATATTGCATATCGCATATCGCATATCGCATATCGCATATCGCATATTGCATATCGCATATCGCATATCGCATATCGCATATCGCATATCGCATATCGCATATCGCATATCGCATATTGCATACCGCATATCGCATATCGCAAATTGCATACCGCATATCGCATATCGCAAATTGCATATCGCTGCATATCGCATATCGCTGCATATCGCTGCATATTGCATATCGCATATACATATATGCATATATGCACATATATGAAACATAAAACATAATTGCGGTAGGGATCGAACCGGCGACCTTCCATTTTTTCCGGCGCAGTCTTAAGCGCGTACGGCACGCTCCCGACCCGGAATTTCCAAAACGCTCCGGACGGACAACCGGACGGACAACCGGACAACCATCGAACTCGGGATAGGCCTCCGCTCATAACATATGAGCTACGGCGACGAGGCGCGGTCCCTGCGGTCCCGAGGGTGCCGTAGCTCTCGTCCGGGTCCGGACACGTTCGGGTGCATCCGGACGTTCGGGTGCACGGCGGACACGATCCAGCAAGTCCTGCCGGTCTCGGACTTGATCCACGCAAACCACCGTGAAAGCGCCAGCCAAATCCGCAACACGCGCGGGCAACTGGCCCCGTAGCATATTGGGGTCAGGGTTTACGACCGCGATGCCATGAGATTGAACGGCACATGGCAATACCTCGGGAGGGCGGCCCGCGAGATGTACAATCATGAGCTGCTGCATGAGACGGCCCCGCCCTAGCAGTTGACTCTCCACGAACGTGGGCGCAGGCAAGGGATCGCCCAGGTGATTAACAGATGGCACGTCACCCGGATCGAGTCGTGCCAAAGCCGCTTCAGGTATTCGGCGTGCTGCAACAAAAGCGGCGGGAGGTGGGTATCGGGCAGGCACAATTGAAAGATAAGGTGTTTAAACGAGAAGAAGAAGAAGAAGAGCCGAAGGGGAAGGCCATACCGGCCGCACAGAGAAAACGGCTGGACGAAACAAAGGTGCTGAACAGCATGATCCAATGGACGGAGGGACTGGCTGTATAGGAGACAGAACAATTGCTTACCTGCGAGTGCCTTCTCGCACGAGGTGCAGATGGTGAATTCATCCGGAGCATCATCGTGTGGGAACACGGTCCGGTTCGGCAACTCTGTATCAAGACGCATGCAAAACGGAACCTCCACACTTATTGGGTCATCGACGCAAGGCCGCGGCTGCACCCGCGGTGGATGGGGTTGTAATTCCGGAGGTAGCTGCATTGTGGCCGCGTCATCTGCAGCACCTGGCTCATTAGTCCCGTTGTCTCCACCGTCGCTGTCAACTGCTAACGCATCTTCATCTACGAATGCCGCTCGATCAGGGTCACCACCGATGCCAGCACTACTCGCGCGTTCGGATCTGCCGATACGATACCGAGCCGGCAGAACCGGATCTGGCGGCGGTGGTGCGGTACCTTGGGCAGTGCAGGGCATGCGCCGCCAAGCCAGGGTACGCGCATGACGCGGCACTGCGGCGGTGCACATGATGTCGGCGCGCAAAAGGTCCACATTGGGAATGTCCAGCCAGGCACGGAGCGTGGACTGTTCCTCCGAGCACTGTTCAGAGCAGACGGCACACACCCGCGAAGGCATGTGTCGACGCAACGCGGCGGCCATCCTGCTTGCAAGATGCAAGTGCTTTTCGTAGGGTACCTGCCGATCCACCGGGAGTTCACCGCCGGGCAAATCCTGCACGCGCCCTTCCGGAATGGCCTCCAGAAAATCAGGCGGCCGTGGGTGCTGGCCCTCGTGCAAACAGGGAAACCGCATTAGGTTCCGCAAGCGTTCAAGTAAGCTGGCTTGTGGAAGCTGTATTGCATGCACCTGAGCACGGCCCTGTGCGTGTGCAGCGGTGTCACGCTCTTGTTCCACAGCTCTGCGCTCCGGATCTTGACGGGCAACAGCTCGTGCAGCGGTGTCACGCTGCTGTTCCGCAGCCCTGCGCTCCGGATCTTGACGGGCAGCAGCTCGTGCAGCGGTGTGACGCTGCTGTTCCGCAGCCCTGTGCTCCGGATCTTGACGGGCAGCAGCTCGTGCAGCAGTGTTACGCTGCTGTTCTGCAGCCCTGCGCTCCGGATCTTGACGGGCAACAGCTCGTGCAGCGGTGTTACGCTGCTGTTCCGCAGCCCTGTGCTCCGGATCTTGATGGGCAGCAGCTCGTGCAGCGGTGTTACGCTGCTGTTCCGCAGCCCTGCACTCCGGATCTTGACGGGCAGCAGCTCGTGCAGCGGTGTTACGCTGCTGTTCCGCAGCCCTGCGCTCCAGATCTTGACGGGCAGCAGCTCCTGCAGCGGTGTGACGCTGCTGTTCCGCAGCCCTGCGCTCCGGGTCTTGGCGGTGGTGCTGCCCCACAGCCCGTCCCTCCGTGTCTCGGCGGTGTTGCTGCTCCACAGCCCCGTACTCTGGGTCTTCACGAGCAGCAGCTTGTGCAGCAGTGTCTCGCTGCTGCTCTGCAGCCCTGTGCCGCGGATCCAGACGAGCATCCCGCATCCGAGCTGCATCCACGCTGAGGGGTGTGTTTGACGCACTTGTGCCTCTAAAATGAAAACCGCCAGCAAGTGTACCTAGGCGCTCGCGACCACGAGTTGCGGGCCGCTGGGGTAAATCATTCGGTGTGTCTGCCATAACTGACGGAAGCCGTCTTAAGTCACAGCTTGCATTGGCGGCACCACCAACCAGTATACAGCCGCCGGCTTTCCTAATTTGCAGCTGGCGGCTTTCGTATGATTCAGCGCTCCGCACTACTGTAAGTGAAGACAAATATAGCAAACGCGCATATCTGTGTGTGCGTCAAATTGCGTGTTTAATTGCGCGTTTCGGTGTACTCTAAAGGAATCACGCGCCAAAATGCAGGTTAAATTGCACGGCTGGGTACATGTTAAGTGTTAATTTGCGTGGTTGGGCGCGCTTGTGTATCGAATTACAATTAACAATTAACAACAATTCGGTGCGCTTGCGTGTCGAATGACGCGAACACGGTGCGGCGCGCATTGCACCGTGCACGGTCCGAAAATATAAGAAAATAGAAAAAAGAAGCGTGCGGGCGCCGAGCGACGAAGCAACACAAAAAAGGACACATCGACACGCCCGCGCCGGGGTCGAACCGGCGACCGCGACTCCCACTAGATATCGGAGCTAGCGTGCCCGACGAAGCGGCCCACGGCCATGCTCCGGGGCGCCTTCCGCGGGGGCAGGTGTGGTGCGGTGCGGCGCGGGGCGCCGAACCGAACGAAGGAAGAAGACGAAACAAGCGGCGACGGCGGGACGCGAACCGACGACCGCGGCTCCCACGCGGCGACGGAGCTAGCCTAAAAGGCGCGGCTCCGAAACCGCGGACGACACCCCGAAAAACGCGAAAACAGCAAGCGGCCACCCGGACGGACGGACGGACGGTCAGACGAGGCGCGGTCCCTGCGGTCCCGAGGGTGCCGTAGCTCTCGTCCGGGTCCGGACACGTTCTGGTGCATCCGGACGTTCGGGTGCATACGACGGATTGCAAATGCTTGCATATTGCAAATGCTTGCATATTGCATATGCTTGCAGACCGCATATGCTTGCAGATGACATATGCTTGCAGGTCGTATATGGCATATGCTTGCAGATCGCATATGCTTGCAGATCACGTGTGCTTGCAGATCGCATATGATTGCAGATGCCTGCAGACAGCATATGCTTGCAGATCGCATATGCTTGCAGACAGCATATGCTTGCAGATCGCATATGCTTGCAGACAGCATATGCTTGCAGATCGCATATGCTTGCAGACAGCATATGCTTGCAGATCGCATATGGCATATGCTTGCAGATCGCATACGGCATTTGCTTGCAGATCGCATATGCTTGCAGACGGCATAGGCTTGCAGATCGCATATGGCATATGCTTGCAGATCGCATATGGCATATGCTTGCAGATAGCATATGGCATATGCTTGCAGGTCGCATATGCTTGCAGATTGCATATGCTTGCAGATCGCATATGCTTGCAGATCACATATGCTTGCAGATCGCATATGGCATATGCTTGCAGATCGCATATGCTTGCAGATCACATATGCTTGCAGATCGCATATGACATATGCTTGCAGATCGCATATGACATATGCTTGCAGATCGCATATGCTTGCAGATCGCATATGCTTGCAGATCGCATATGCTTGCAGATCGCATATGGCATATGCTTGCAGATCGCACATCCTTGCATATTGCATATTGCCCATGCTTGCATATGCAATATCCTTGCATATCGCGCATGCTTGCATATTGCGCATGCTTGCATATTGCGCATGCTTGCATATTCCAAATGCTTGCATATTGCAAATGCTTGCAGATCGCATATGCATGCAGATTGCATATGCTTGCAGATTGCATATATGGCGCAGATCGCATATGCTTGCAGACTGCATCTGTTTGCGGACTGCATCTGCTTGCAGATCGCATCTGCTTGCAGATCGCATATGCTTGCATATTGCATATGCTTGCAGATCGCATATGCTTGCAGATTGCATATATGGCGCAGATCGCATATGCTTGCAGACTGCATCTCTTTGCAGATCGCATATGCTTGCAGATCGCATACGCTTGCACATCCCATATGCTTGCAGAGCGCATACACTTGCAGATCGCATATGCTTGCAGATCGCATATGCTTGCACATCGCATATACTTGCAGATCGCATATGCTTGCGGATCACATATGCTTGCAGATCGCATATGCTTGCAGATCGCATTTGCTTGCAGATTGCATATGTTTGCATACTGCATTGCTTGCATACCGCATATGCTTGCAGATCGCATATGCTTGTGGATCACATATACTTGCAGAGCACATATGCTTGCACATCGCATATGCTTGCAGATCGCATATGCTTGCAGAGCGCATATGTTTGCACATCACATATGCTTGCACATCGCATATGCTTGCATATCTCATACGCTTGCACATCCCATATGCTTGCAAAGCGCATATGCTTGCAGATTGCATATGCTTGCACATCGCACATGCTTGCAGATCACATATGCTTGCAGAGCGCATATGCTTGCACATTACATATGCTTGCAGATCGCATATGCTTGCAGATCACATATGCTTGCAGATCGCATACGCTTGCACATCCCATATGCCTGCACATTGCATATACTTGCGGATCGCATATGCTTGCACATCGCATATGCTTGCAGATTACAAATGCTTGCATACTGCATATGCTTGCAGATAGCATAGCATAGCATAGCGCAGCATAGCATAGCATAGCATAGCATAGCATAGCATAGCATAGCATAGCGTAGTGTAGTGTAGCGCAGCATAGCATAGCATAGTATAGCATAGCATAGCATAGCATAGCATAGCATAGCATAGCATAGCATAGCATAGCATAGCATAGCATAGCATAGCATAGCATAGCATAGCATAGCATAGCATAGCATAGCATAGCATAGCATAGCATAGCATAGCATAGCACTTGCTGGACAGCAGGTTCGAGTCCTGTGATGGTTTTCACGTTTCCATGCTTTCATGCTTTCTTGTTTTTGTTACTGAGCGCATATGCTTGCACATCGCATATGCATGCAGATCGCATATGCTTGCGGATCACATATGCTTGCACATCCCATATACTTGCAGATCGCATATGCTTGCGAATCACATATGCTTGCAGAGCACATATGCTTGCACATCGCATACGCTTGCACATCGCATATGCTTGCAGATCACATACGCTTGCACATCTCATATGCTTGCAGAGCGCATATGCTTGCAGATTGCATACGCTTGCACATCGCATATGCTTGCAGATCACATATGCTTGCAGATCACGTATGCTTGCAGATCGCATACCCTTGCACATCGCATATGCTTGCAGATCGCATATGCTTGCAGATCACATATGCTTGCAGATCGCATACGCTTGCACATCCCATATGCTTGCAGAGCGCATATGCTTGCACATTGCATATGCTTGCACACCGCATACGCTTGCAGATCACATATGCTTGCAGAGCGTATACGCTTGCACATTGCATATGCTTGCAGATCGCATATGCTTGCAGATCGCATATGGCATATGCTTGCAGATCGCATATGCTTGCAGATCGCATATGGCACATGCTTGCAGACTGTATATGTTTGCATAATGCAGATGCATGCGCATACGTATAACATATCGCATATCGTATATTGCATATCGCATATTGCATATTGCATATCGCATATCGCATATCGCATATCGCATATCGCATATCGCATATCGCATATTGTGTATCGCGTATCGCATATCGCATATCGCATATTGCATATCGCATATTGCATATTGCATATTGCATATTGCATATTGCATATTGCATATTGCATATTGCATATTGCATATTGCATATTGCATATTGCATATTGCATATTGCATATCGCATATCGCATATCCCATATCGCTGCATATATGGCATATCGCATATCACATACCGCATATCGCATATCGCAAATTGCATATCGCTGCATATCGCATATCGCTGCATATCGCTGCATATTGCATATCACATATATGCATATAATATATGCACATATATGAAACATAAAACATAACCTCGGTGAGGATCGAACCGGCGACCTCCCGTTCTTTTTGGCGCGGTCTTTAGCGCGTACGGCACGCTCCCGACCCGGAATTTCCAAAATGCTCCGGACAACCGGACAACCGGACAAGCATCGAACTCCGGACGAGGCGCGGTCCCTGCGGTCCCGAGGGTGCCGTAGCTCTCGTCCGGGTCCGGACACGTTCGGGTGCATCCGGACGTTCGGGTGCATCCGGATTGCAAATGCTTGCGTATTGCAAATGCTTGCATATGCAATATCCTTACATATGGCATATTGCCCATGCTTGCATATGCAATATCCTTGCATATTGTGCATGCTTGCATATTGCGCATGCTTGCATATTCCAAATGCTTGCATATTGAAAATGCTTGCAGATTGCATATGCTTGCAGATCGCATATGCGATCTGCATGCAGATTGCATATGCTTGCAGATTGCATATGCTTGCAGATTGCATATGCTTGCGTATTGCATTGCTTGCAGATCGCATATGCTTGCAGATTGCATATATGGCGCAGATCGCATATGCTTGCAGACTGCATCTCTTTGCCGATCGCATTTGCTTGCAGATTGCATATGCTTGCAAATCGCATATGCTTGCAAATGGCATATGCTTGTAGATCGCATATGCTTGCAGACTGCATATGCTTGCAGACTGCATATGCTTGCAGACTGCATATGCTTGCAGATCGCATATGCTTGCAGACCGCATATGCTTGCAGATCACATATGCTTGCAGATCGCATATGGCATATGCTTGCAGATCGCATATGCTTGCAGATCACATATGCTTGCAGATCGCAAATGCTTGCAGATCGCATATGCTTGCAGACAGCATATGCTTGCAGATCGCATATGCTTGCAGATCGCATATGCTTGCAGATCGCATATGGCATATGCTTGCAGATCGCATATCCTTGCATATTGCATATTGCCCATGCTTGCATATGCAATATCCTTGCATACTGCGCATGCTTGCATATTGCGCATGCTTGCATATTCCAAATGCTAGCATATTCCAAATGCTTGCATATTGCAAATGCTTGCAGATCGCATATGCATGCAGATTGCATATGCTTGCAGATTGCATATATGGCGCAGATCGCATATGCTTGCAGACTGCATCTGCTTGCAGACTGCATCTGCTTGCAGATCGCATATGCTTGCAGATCGCATGCGCATATGCTTGCATATGCGCATATGCTTGCATATTGCATATGCTTGCAGATCGCATATGCTTGCAGATTGCATATATGGCGCAGATCGCATATGCTTGCAGACTGCATCTCTTTGCAGATCGCATATGCTTGCAGATCGCATTTGCTTGCAGATTGCATATGCTTGCAAATCGCATATGCTTGCAAATGGCATATGCTTGTAGGTCGCATATGCTTGCAGACTGCATATGCTTGCAGACTGCATATGCTTGCAGACTGCATATGCTTGCAGACTGCATATGCTTGCAGATTGCATATGCTTGCAGACCGCATATGCTTGCAGATCACATATGCTTGCAGATCGCATATGGCATATGCTTGCAGATCGCATATGCTTGCAGATCACATATGCTTGCAGATAGCATATGCTTGCAGAATCGCATATGCTTGCAGACAGCATATGCTTGCAGATCGCATATGCTTGCAGACAGCATATGCTTGCAGATCGCATACGCTTGCATATCCCATATGCTTGCAGATCGCATTTGCTTGCAGATCGCATATGTTTGCATACTGCATTGCTTGCATACCGCATATGCTTGCAGATCGCATATGCTTGCACATCGCATATGCTTGCACATCGCATATGCTTGCACATCGCATATGCTTGCAGAGCGCATACGCTTGCAGATTGCATATGCTTGCACATGGCATATGCTTGCAAATCACATATGCTTGCAGAGCGCATATGCTTGCACATCCCATATGCTTGCAGAGCGCATATGCTTGCACATTGCATATGCTTGCACATCGCATACGCTTGCAGATCACATATGCTTGCATACTGCATATGCTTGCAGATAGCATAGCATAGCATAGCGCAGCATAGCATAGCATAGCATAGCATAGGATAGCGTAGTGTAGCGCAGTATAGCATATCATCGCATAGTATAGCATAGCATAGCATAGCATAGCATAGCATAGCACTTGCTGGACAGCAGGTTCGAGTCCTGCGATGGTTTTCACGTTTCCATGTTTTCATGCTTTCTTGTTTTTGTTACTGAGCGCATATGCTTGCACATCGCATATGCTTGCAGATCGCATATGCTTGCGGATCACATATGCTTGCAGAGCACATATGCTTGCACATAGCATATGCTTGCACATCGCATATGCTTGCAGATTGCATATGCTTGCAAATCGCATATGCTTGCAGATCACATATGCTTGCAGAGCGCATATGCTTGCACATCGCATATGCTTGCAGATCGCATATGCTTGCACGTCGCATATACTTGCAGATCACATACGCATGCATACTGCGTATGCTTGCAGATACCATAGCATAGCATAGCGCAGCATAGCATAGCATAGCATAGCACAGCATAGCATAGCATATGCTTGCAGACTGCATCTCTTTGCCGATCGCATTTGCTTGCAGATTGCATATGCTTGCAAATCGCATATGCTTGCAAATGGCATATGCTTGTAGATCGCATATGCTTGCAGACTGCATATGCTTGCAGACTGCATATGCTTGCAGACTGCATATGCTTGCAGATCGCATATGCTTGCAGACCGCATATGCTTGCAGATCACATATGCTTGCAGATCGCATATGGCATATGCTTGCAGATCGCATATGCTTGCAGATCACATATGCTTGCAGATCGCAAATGCTTGCAGATCGCATATGCTTGCAGACAGCATATGCTTGCAGATCGCATATGCTTGCAGATCGCATATGCTTGCAGATCGCATATGGCATATGCTTGCAGATCGCATATCCTTGCATATTGCATATTGCCCATGCTTGCATATGCAATATCCTTGCATACTGCGCATGCTTGCATATTGCGCATGCTTGCATATTCCAAATGCTAGCATATTCCAAATGCTTGCATATTGCAAATGCTTGCAGATCGCATATGCATGCAGATTGCATATGCTTGCAGATTGCATATATGGCGCAAATCGCATATGCTTGCAGATCACATCTGCTTGCAGACTGCATCTGCTTGCACATCGCATATGCTTGCAGATCGCATATGCTTGCACGTCGCATATACTTGCAGATCACATACGCATGCATACTGCGTATGCTTGCAGATACCATAGCATAGCATAGCGCAGCATAGCATAGCATAGCATAGCACAGCATAGCATAGCATAGCATAGCACAGCATAGCATAGCGTAGTGTAGCGCAGCATAGCATAGCATAGCATAGCATAGCATAGCGTAGCGTAGCATAGCATAGCATAGCATAGCATAGCATAGCATAGCATATGCTCCGGACAACCGGACAACCGGACAAGCATAACTCCGGACGAGGCGCGGTCCCTGCGGTCCCGAGGGTGCCGTAGCTCTCGTCCGGGTCCGGACACGTTCGGGTGCATCCGGACGTTCGGGTGCATCCGGATTGCAAATGCTTGCGTATTGCAAATGCTTGCATATGCAATATCCTTACATATGGCATATTGCCCATGCTTGCATATGCAATATCCTTGCATATTGTGCATGCTTGCATATTGCGCATGCTTGCATATTCCAAATGCTTGCATATTGAAAATGCTTGCAGATTGCATATGCTTGCAGATCGCATATGCGATCTGCATGCAGATTGCATATGCTTGCAGATTGCATATGCTTGCAGATTGCATATGCTTGCGTATTGCATTGCTTGCAGATCGCATATGCTTGCAGATTGCATATATGGCGCAGATCGCATATGCTTGCAGACTGCATCTCTTTGCCGATCGCATTTGCTTGCAGATTGCATATGCTTGCAAATCGCATATGCTTGCAAATGGCATATGCTTGTAGATCGCATATGCTTGCAGACTGCATATGCTTGCAGACTGCATATGCTTGCAGACTGCATATGCTTGCAGATCGCATATGCTTGCAGACCGCATATGCTTGCAGATCACATATGCTTGCAGATCGCATATGGCATATGCTTGCAGATCGCATATGCTTGCAGATCACATATGCTTGCAGATCGCAAATGCTTGCAGATCGCATATGCTTGCAGACAGCATATGCTTGCAGATCGCATATGCTTGCAGATCGCATATGCTTGCAGATCGCATATGGCATATGCTTGCAGATCGCATATCCTTGCATATTGCATATTGCCCATGCTTGCATATGCAATATCCTTGCATACTGCGCATGCTTGCATATTGCGCATGCTTGCATATTCCAAATGCTAGCATATTCCAAATGCTTGCATATTGCAAATGCTTGCAGATCGCATATGCATGCAGATTGCATATGCTTGCAGATTGCATATATGGCGCAGATCGCATATGCTTGCAGACTGCATCTGCTTGCAGACTGCATCTGCTTGCAGACTGCGCATATATGCTTGCAGATCGCATGCGCATATGCTTGCATATGCGCATATGCTTGCATATTGCATATGCTTGCAGATCGCATATGCTTGCAGATTGCATATATGGCGCAGATCGCATATGCTTGCAGACTGCATCTCTTTGCAGATCGCATATGCTTGCAGATCGCATTTGCTTGCAGATTGCATATGCTTGCAAATCGCATATGCTTGCAAATGGCATATGCTTGTAGGTCGCATATGCTTGCAGACTGCATATGCTTGCAGACTGCATATGCTTGCAGACTGCATATGCTTGCAGACTGCATATGCTTGCAGATTGCATATGCTTGCAGACCGCATATGCTTGCAGATCACATATGCTTGCAGATCGCATATGGCATATGCTTGCAGATCGCATATGCTTGCAGATCACATATGCTTGCAGATAGCATATGCTTGCAGAATCGCATATGCTTGCAGACAGCATATGCTTGCAGATCGCATATGCTTGCAGACAGCATATGCTTGCAGATCGCATACGCTTGCATATCCCATATGCTTGCAGATCGCATTTGCTTGCAGATCGCATATGTTTGCATACTGCATTGCTTGCATACCGCATATGCTTGCAGATCGCATATGCTTGCACATCGCATATGCTTGCACATCGCATATGCTTGCACATCGCATATGCTTGCAGAGCGCATACGCTTGCAGATTGCATATGCTTGCACATGGCATATGCTTGCAAATCACATATGCTTGCAGAGCGCATATGCTTGCACATCCCATATGCTTGCAGAGCGCATATGCTTGCACATTGCATATGCTTGCACATCGCATACGCTTGCAGATCACATATGCTTGCATACTGCATATGCTTGCAGATAGCATAGCATAGCATAGCGCAGCATAGCATAGCATAGCATAGCATAGGATAGCGTAGTGTAGCGCAGTATAGCATATCATCGCATAGTATAGCATAGCATAGCATAGCATAGCATAGCATAGCACTTGCTGGACAGCAGGTTCGAGTCCTGCGATGGTTTTCACGTTTCCATGTTTTCATGCTTTCTTGTTTTTGTTACTGAGCGCATATGCTTGCACATCGCATATGCTTGCAGATCGCATATGCTTGCGGATCACATATGCTTGCAGAGCACATATGCTTGCACATAGCATATGCTTGCACATCGCATATGCTTGCAGATTGCATATGCTTGCAAATCGCATATGCTTGCAGATCACATATGCTTGCAGAGCGCATATGCTTGCACATCGCATATGCTTGCAGATCGCATATGCTTGCACGTCGCATATACTGCAGATCA